TACAGCTCTGTTACATGTCTACTATCATATAGTCTCTTCCAGCATTTCAGCAGATACAAAATCCTTGATTTGTCATTCTTGTTTTAGCCTAGATCTTTGAAACTGAACAACAAAATGTCCTATTTTCTCTCCTGCTGGTTCATGCAGAGGGTGACAGCCTCCTCCTGTTATCAGTTACCTCCCTTTCTTATTGCTTGTTGGGGTCTGTTCAGTGACTGTGAATTTTACAAACCTGCTCCTAATCCTATTATAGAAATGCAAATTTTCGTTTCTTCTTTTTTGTTTTGAAAACTTAGCAAGTTGTTAAAAAAAAAAGGAAGAAAGAAGAAGCATTGCTCTTCTCAATAAATAAGTTACTCAAGAAATAAGAAATGTTAAAATTTTCCTGTAACTCACACCCTGAAGTATAATTATTATCAAATGCATTTCTCATGTATAATGAACCTAGAGATCCACAGAATGAGACAAGTCCTTCAGAGAAGTCCATTGCTTGCATGGCATGAACCTTTTTAGCTGGAAAAAATGTGGCTGGATGACATATCAGCCTTGAAAACCCAGTCTGCATAGCTCACACAAGCACTAGGGCTATTCGTTACCCTTCCCACACTATATGTCTGGGTGAGCAAGAGCCACAAGACCAGATCCAACACTGTATTTCTCATCAGAGAAATATCAGAAGTGAGATTTCAGACCAACTCTACATTTTAGGTTAGACTACCACAAACCAGACCTCTGGGCTTTTTCACACGCTCGCTCTGAGTTACAGCCTACATAAAGGGAACCTTCTGACTTTCACGAACTTAATAAGAGCTGGTGCTTCACCTGCACTTTACCTCGTAACTTAAGACGACCTTCTGTTTATCTTTAGTAACCAGCAGGTGAACAAATGCTCACTATCATTCAAGATTGTCTTCTAGGGGCTACATCCCATCATAATGAAGTAGAAGAGGGAGAAGATTCAACTTTTACAGGGCTTTCTTTTTATTGGGAAGGTGGTTCCATATACAAAGTTATGATCACTCTTTCTTTTGTGTGTGTGGTAAATCAGAGCTCAAAATTTCTGAATCTGTCTTGTTTGCTAGCAAATTTAGTATGTTAATATACACATTGATAATTCTTTATTATTCTTATTTTCCCAGATTCTGCTTGTCTCCAATGGAGGGAAGTTTATGAAAAAGACACTGATTGGGGAAGCTTATATCTGGCTTGACAAAGTGGATCTAAGGAAAAGAATAGTAAACTGGCACAAACTGTTGGTCAGCTCCACACAAACACACTGAGCAGAGCTGTCTGCTTAGGGCACAAAACCTGCAGAGTCTGCTCTAAACAGCATCACTCCAAGACTATAGTTTGATATCACTGTATTTAGCTAGTCTTTCAGAATACAAAGTAGAAAAGAGCAGTCTCTGGGCTACACAGCACACTTAAATGAGGGCTAGTACGCTTGTTTTTGCTGCAAAAGACAGCAAAAGGAAAAGAAAACCTGGGCCCAGAAGTTAAAGTGAGGCTGTTTGAAATGAAGACTGATACGAGGGCTCCGTGTTGTTGGACTCTTTGTGAAGAGAGTAACTGTGAAGGAAATGCTGAAGGCTGGAGGCAGGTGTTAACGTGGAGTTCGGCTGCAGCTGGAGGCAGTGTGATGGAAAGTGCAGTCTGGTTTTCTGTACAACCAGGAGGAGATCATTTTATGCAAAAGCACCTAGGGTGACTGACTTTCCAAATCTCACTTATCAAAAGTGCAAAACTTGCTCCTCTGCACCTTAGGATTTCTGATAATTTGCTATAGTGAGATTATGCCACTTGAGACAAACTGCAAGGCGTTTGCAAGAGTGGTAATGTTTTTTTACATTACTTTTTTTCTTCTTTTTCTTTCAGAAACTATGCTGTGAAGAATCAGATCTGATTGTTTTATTTGTTTCTGTGTCTTAACAATGGATATAAACCACTCTCTAGAATGTTATGAATTAAACTATATTAACGGTCTACAATTTGGGATGTGATTTTAAAGAGAAGGAACAGGATATACCACACTACATCAGAAAGAAAAAATGCTGTTTTAATGTCAGTGACACTGTAATTCACCCCAACCTTTGCATCAGGAGGTCTAAAACAGTTTGAATTGAAGAAACTTAAGCACTGGGACTAACAAAATTATTTCAACTAGTCCATTTTTCAGCAACCAGGCTTTTTCTGAAATTGTATGCAGATGATGAATTCTAGGATATTTAGTGGGCACTTTGGAGCAGTAGACCCACTGTGACAACACCAACCCACTCAATGCAGGGCTCTGTATCAACACTAGTGACACTCTAGAAAGAGGAAGGGACAGCAGGGCAGTTCCTGACTGGATGCTGTTACATTAGAGAAGATGAAGAATATCTGCTTGTTATCTCAGGTGAATGTCTGAGTATAATCCACTCAAAAGCATGGCTTCTCAGGAAAGAAGCAAATAGGAAGGTAACTTGCAAGATTTAAGGCTGTGTCAGCACGTTGCTGCTTAAAGTCCCACTTTCAGGAATTTGAAGCTGAGTGGTTAGCTCCCTTGGGAAGAAACTACTGGCTAGCATGGCTTAGCCTGATTGTTGTGTTTTCCCTTGTACAATATTTGAAGAGGGGAGAGCTTTTTCTCTCATTTCCAAACGTATTGCAGTTTCATTAAAACCCAAGAATCAATATGGTACCGTCGTGGTTAATTCCCATGTTACTTAGAAGTCATTTAATATTTCACAGCTTCATTAAAAAGTTTCCCTGGAAATACGATCACATGACCTTTGCATACTTAGAAAGAAAATTACCAAATTTCTGCATGTCTGACATTTATTTTTCTTTCCCAATAAGGACCTTTAGCAAATCATTTAATGTGCATTATCTTATATTTCTTGAATATATGTAGTACACTTCCACAGGTTATGCAAGATCAGCTGAAAATATTCTTCTGGAAAATATTATATGCTTTAAAAAAAAATAAAAAAAAGAAAAAATAAGGCTTAGATTATTCAGCAACTGGATTGACCATGGAAAAGCTACACCATTTAATTTGGTGACACTTCCCCCATATAGTTTTTAGTTTATCTTTTATCAATTTAAAATAACAGCATGGCACAGGAATATGAGAAGAAACACGCAGAAGATATTAATGCTACACACACCAAGGAAACTCCTGTTATTGATAACCTGCTGGTCACTTGCTTAACTTGCAAGCAGAGCAATCTTTCCAAAATCTTATTAGCTATCTCAAAAACACAACATCACTGACAGTGGAAGTAGAATGTGTGCTTTAATGTTGAATTTTATGCTTTCACCAGTGTATGTATACCCTACCTCTCACATATTTTAAAAACAGTCTGCTGGAGTTATTGTAAAAATTCTATATGTTTTGATGTTGTGTATGTTTTTATAAGACAATACTTCAAAGAAAAAATCCCCAGTTGAACTAAAAGATCCTATATATGACATATGTGTTGCTCTTTTGGTGGATTACCTTGCATTCCTGATGGCTATACTGTGTTTTTCCTTTGAAAAAAGACCAACACCACTCCCCCCAAAAAAAAATCCTAGGTGAAATGCAAGCCCTGAGGTGTGCAATTTTGTGCAAACTGCTGGTAATTTTGTTCTTGCTAAGATTTGTTATAAAGGCAGCAAGTAGCACTGGTAGTTGCTATGGAGATTTCCAACTGGAACAAGCAGTATCTGGCTGCCTTAGTGGAAGCCTGTAATCATCACTCTTAATTGAGAAAGTGGACAGGGGTGTTTTGCTCTCACACACATACAAATGTGGCCAATATTTTTATTGAATAGTTTTGTTGGGTGGTATAGCTGCAGCTGTAAGGAACAGCTACCTCTGAGGTTGATCAGCTGTCTGCAACTGGTTTAATTCAAGCATCTTTGATTCTCTGAACAATACACAAAAATGTTTCTGCATGTTGAAATAGCAGTTTTGGACTCCTGTCATGAAACACAAAGAGTAGGGTTTGTGAGGAACGTGGCACTGCCTTGGCCAGCTGCAGCAAGGACGGGGCTCCCTCGGTGTCACCCAGGGTGGGCTTGTGTCAGACCTGGGCCCACGCACTCGCTCTTTCCGAGGCAGCGTCATTCAGAGGTCACAAAATGCTACCAAAGTGTGCCAAGTTCCTTTTTTTGACCAAATTTCTAGGTTGTACTGAAATCACTCTATGCAACACAGATTCATGTTTGAATGCATAGTTGACTTTTTTGTTGTTTGTTTGTTTTATGAATGAAGTCAGGAAAAACTCTTGTGACAATGTTTTTTAAAAAATAATCAAACAAGGATTATTAGTATTTTTTTACCTTTTTTGTATATATCTCAGTATAATTTTTTTGGTTTTTTTCTCATTAATTTTTGTTTGTTTTATCTGGCCAAAAGTGCTTAGATGTGGCAACAGCTTTTATCATTTCTGAGTGATTGATTATTAATGATTTCACACATTTCTATGATTGCTTTGAAGATTTCTATGATTGCTTTGAAGATACATATTGCAGGGAGGCAACAGCAGAGGCATTTTAACTTTTTTAATTCATAAATCTGCTGAGACAACAGAAATTGAAGCTGCTTCTTTGTTCAAGGCCTTGCATAGTGGGAACAAGCTGAAAAATGAGCAAAAGCACAGTGTGTGTGTGTTTACAAGTCATAGGGATTTATAATGTTATCATAATTAGTAATATGCATACAATGAGCAGCAAACAGCCACTTTTTTTTTCCAGGTTAAAACTAGACATGAGAGTTTCTATGATGAATGTTGAGCTAGTTCTTTATCATTACACTTTAAAGGGATAGTATCCAGAGGCAATGAGTGCTGCTTCTTTATTATTACCCATGTTTTAACATTACATGGATCCTGTGTGGAAGAAACAAAAACCAGTTGAAGTCAATAACAATCAATCTATTGACTTGAACTGGTTTTAAATTGAAACCTAGGAAATATTTGAGTTATTTTTCTGGATGCTGGGTGTTTGCATGGTTAGGTTGTGGGATATGGTAGCTGGTAACCAGCTGATATTGATTCTTACTTTGAGGATGATGATGAAGAAAAAGAAGACATCTATTATATTGTAAGCTAGCATTTGCCCAATAGAGATTATTTAATTAGGATTTAGTTTCATGGAGATATCATAAAGATGTTAATAGTATTTTTTTAAATTATTATTTGAATCATAACTGACACTATTTTTAACTAGTTTATTTTCATTGCTACAATGTTGAATGTCCCAGATTCATTATTTGAGTATATATCTAGATATGTACATACCTATGTGAATAGCAGAGAAAATTTGTGTGAGTGTAACTTATAAAGGTAATGAAACAGAGAGGAATTTTAGCATAAGTATCCACCTACATTATATTTAAACTTTATTCCTATATGCCTTGTGAATTTTCAGTACACCTGGCATGTAGGATGAATTGCTCTTTATGAATACATGTTGCCTTTAGAAGGAAAATAGAAAGAATAAGTGAGACCGGATACTCTCTCTTTAAATCACAAGAAGCATTTTAATGTTTTCTATATGTTCTGTTTTATTATTTTGAAAAAATTAATAAGCAGATATATTGAGCTCAAAAGTTATAATATATATAGGTATCCATAACTCAAAATAGATTATTTGAGCAAGAGCTGTTTTCTTAATTTGTTACCCTGTAAATACTTATGCATTTTTTGTAAACCAGACTGAGTTTAAGTTATTAACTCCATCTGACATCCAAGCATGTAAGTGTGTCCTTATTTGATTGTATCTTATAGATGTTCAGTGACGTGCTCAGGTGCTCAATGATGGCTGACTAGCGTGTGTGCTGTCATGCTACAGACAACATGTACAGCACGCACAGTGTTTAAAAAAATCCAAAAAACACCAAAAAAACCTGCAAAAAACAACAAAAAAAAAAGATTAGTCCTTGAAGAAATGTAATGTTTCCTCAGTGAATGTTGCATGCATAGATGGTGGTTTGTTGATATTCATTTTGGTTTGAATTTCTTTTAATTTTTATTTTGCTTTCAGAATCATCAGGAAAAAAAAATACAGACTTGTTCTAAAAGCTGTAAAAACTGAAACAAAAGCAGTATGAGAATTGTATAAAAATGCTTGTAAATCTGTCCCAGTTTTCACTTTATGTATAAATCCATGCCATGGTTTTGTGATTGTATACAGGATGTATCTTGAGAACTTATGCAAATTGTGCTCTATAAAGGCTGTTATCCCAGTCTGACAAATAAATATTTAAAATATCTGGTTTGGTTTCCTTTTCCTAATCAACATGAAAATCTATTTCCCATTTGCTGACCACAGTGATTTTATGGTAATGCTGTACACACTCCCATGCTCATCTGTCTTCTTTCAGCATTAACACACCTCCCAGGGTATCACCCACGTCCCACATTTCATTTTGAAATAAGGAATGGCTTGTTCATGAAAACTTTTCTCCAAAAAAGTCAGAATCAGAATCACATGCAACTTGATATCTTCATACAGATTAATCTCTGGCATTCTATATAGACCACAAATACATGTGCATACATCAGAACCATTTAGGAATGTCCAGGGTTTTGTCTCTTCACTATGAAGAAAAAATGAATTACAAATTTAGCCTAACTCCATATCCTTGTAAGTTCATGATGAAGACAAGAATAAGAAAGAATCTGATAAACCCTAATGGGATTTTCTCTGGCTCTTTCCTCCAGCAAAAAGGTTTCCAGGAACAATATATTTTAGAACTTACTATAAACAAGAAATCATTTTTTTTCAGGAATTGTTTTTATGTTACTGAATTTTACCTGACTTGTAAAACATCTGTGAGGTTTTCCCATTGAGCCATTCTGAGTCATGTCTAGATCTATATTATATTTCCATAGTTTCTGTCTTTGATACAAATAATTAAAAAAAAAAAATCATGCCCCCCAAGTAAAATAAATTGTTGTTTGAGCCTGGCATCTGGAACATACAGCCTGGATTTTTTTTCTGTCAGTTGATGCCCTTTTCTCAAAAAATAATATAATGAAAAATAGGCAACATTTCTGAGGATGCCTCAGAAAAAGGGGTGTCCTTTTGCACATTAGCCCACCTGCTACAGCACTGACACAGATTGACTTCTATTACTGCCCATCAGGAGCCAAACTCTAGTCGTCCCAGTACCTGCCTTAATCACTAAGGTGTACCTTCAGGGTACTTTGGGTACCTCTCTCTGAGAAAAATAGTCATGGCTACAACAAACACTTCATCCTACAATCAGCCTCACTTTTCTACATCCTGTTTTATTTGTATGAGGACGCTCCTGCCCAGCATGCTGGCCCTCTGGAAATGGTTAGAAAGCATTTCTGAAGTGTTAAGGGAGAGAGAGGTCACCGGAATTAGCTGCTGTGAAAGCTGTAGGTTTATCTGAATCTAGCTCTAGGAAACCAGTTTACAGAGAGAAAATCCCAACGCCCCTCCACAGAGACAGAAATAATGATTACATAATATGTTGTTTTTTAAATAATTAATAATATTTAACAAAAATGTGTGTTTACTCAGGGCACTCAGCAAAGTACAGAACATGCATGAACTATTTCCTCACAGTGCTCTTGTGGGGTTTAACCCAGAAGCTACATGGGATATACAATGAGAAAATGGGACTCAGGCAGTTCATGGAACACATGAAGTATGAGGAGAGACTTGAGAGCATTGGATGTTGGGGAAGACAGAACTACACTCTTAGAGGTGTGTGATGTTAGGACAGGAGTCAACAGGCACAATTTTCAATATGTGAAATTCTGCTTCCATATATACATTTAGAGTAATCAAACACTGGAACGGTCTGCCCACAGAATTTGTGGAATCTCCATCCTTGAAGGTATTTAGAACATCTGGGCAAGTCCCTGAGCAACCTGATATGTCTGAATATGCTTTGAGCAGGTGTGGGGAATTTGACTAGGTGGCCTGCCATTGTGTCTTCCAAACTAAACTACCGTCTATGCCTCCAGACTTAATGTAACAGGCAGAAATTACATCTTTGTATTATCATTTCGTTTTTTTAAAATACTCATAAAGAATATTCTGGCTTCACAGATGTCAAATTCACTAATATACATTACATTTTAGATTGATCACCAGGGTTAATTTGTGCTTGTGATATGAAGTGCTTCTGTACAAAGAAGGAACTGAGCAGTATCCCTTTTTTGGCAGCAGTGCAATCCCACTGGTCCTAAGTGAAATCCACTGTTGGCCGCTATAAATGTTTCACATCAAAGAGCTTTGAACCCTGATTGTTGAATTGCCTCTGCCAGTTGCAATAAAGAAGTCTATTCCAGTTTTGAAGTTACTAATCTACCAATGGCCTTTCTGTTTTTTGATCAAAAAGGCAAAAAATAGAAAGCAATGCAGTGAACATGATCAAAAGGACTATATGCTGTCTGATTCATGCAGACCAAAATTATGTATGGTCTGCCAATATCTATGATATGTGGCCCAGTAGCCATATCTGTACTCATTAAAAGAAGGAGTGACATGGTTCATCCTCTTTCTGGAATGACCTTGTCCACACTTGAGTGTCACAAAACAAGTAAATCATCCAAAATTACTTATTGAGAGCAGTCTCTGGCATTAGACCCATGTATGTTGCTTGATGTGTCAGAGCTAGGTCAAGGGATGTGCTAAAACAAATTAATATGGACAGCTGCAAGTCAATTCTTCAGCCTGTATCCTGTGTGGAAATAGTTCTCTCTGAATAAAACATTATATTTGGAAAAAATATTTTCAATAGTCCTTAGAAGACATCACAACTAGGAGTCATGCAAATGTTTCAGGTGTCATTTAAAAAAAACCCCACTAACTTGGAGGTCATGTAACCTAAAATCACAAAAATAGTCAAGAGAACTCCTATTACTGTAACTCTCTCCTTCCCATTTAGCCTGGCATAGAACCACAAAAAAAAAAAAGAAATAAAAAATAAGGGAAAATCACAAACTCAAAGGACTGAATACTGATGGGTTGGGTAGTGGAGCCACTGTTGTACATATTCCTGTTCCTACTGGGAAATTTGCCATTTTGACACCCAGTTGCAAAATGACACAGCTTCAACAGTTATTAATGCAAAAATGTCTGAACAAGAAGAACACTAGAATGATGATTATGTGGGTCCACTATGAACTACTGTACAATGAAACGAGGTCTTAAACACTGCTGCCCTATTTCCTCGTGCATGGAGTCCATTGCTTTCTTGACATCAGTCAAAACAAAAGTCAAAACAAAAACTCTCCTTAGACTTGTCTTCTCACCATATTCTTGGTGCCAGGAGTAGCAATGATATGCACAAGGCTTCTACTCATCAGGGAACAGTAGAATTTCAGAAGTTAGGTTTCTTCTCAGAGCTATTTTAGTTGGTGAAATGTTTGACCTTCATTATTGAAAGGGCTGTAATTTTCTTTTTTTCCTCCCCCCCACCTAGTTCACTTTCCTGTGTGCTAAAATAGGGTCAGGCTGCAGTGCAGGACTTTAGAGGAAAAGGCAGAGAGATCCAAGTTGCTGCACAGCCCTACATCATCTCTCCTGCCTCAGGAACCTTTAAGCCAAATAGAAACAGCCAGTGGAACAGTCAGCTCCAAGTGAGATGCAAAAGTCAAGTAGACAAAGATGAGCTGCAACATTGTGCTGAAAGTGGAATGGAATTAGTGCAGGGCCTAAAACCCCCCTAGTCTTATTTTTATGGGAGAAGGTACAATATTTAAGCAACCACACAATGGCACACCTACTGGAAGTTCTCCAGATCTTTCTAAAAATGGTCTGTTCACTGAATTGTGACTCTAACAGCTCTTAAACATAGAAATTCCATGAATAATTTATTTCTTATTATTGATTAGAAATATTACAGTTCATTATTACATTAATTTCTGTCTTTATTGCATGTGCATATGCTAAAGAACAAAAAGCCAGTAATGGTTTTGTTTAATAATTACGATTCAAATTCATCATACAACCACAAAAAAAAGATCTATTAAATTGAGGATTTAAGGGATTCACAGAGGATTTTGGACAACATTGCATCCTAATGCTACAAGAAGGAACTATAACATCTTTGACATCTCCCACTCAGCATAAGAAAATGGTAGAGTACTGTTAATTAATAAACAAAGATTTGAAGTGCAAATCTAATTATTAATTAAACACTAATTATTATCTATGAAGAATAGTTGAAAAGAATGCAATAAATGCAAAATATGAAAGAAGAAGATACTTTCCATGCATTCCATTGAAAACTTTTCCAGAAAAACAAATCTTGCGGAGGCAAAGGAGTTAGAGATGAGGATTGGACTTGTACACACAATAACTCTTTCCATATCTAACCCAAACTAATCTTCCTTGACTGGCATTTTAAAATATAGAGGAATCAAAATTTTATACTTTCCAAAGGTCTTCAAGTTTACCATGACTTGTTCATCTCTCTTTTCTCATCTCTCCTTACTCAGTCCCTTCCTCTAAGAGGAAATGAAATAGAAGAAAATCTCATTTCAACTCTGTGTTCTGAAAATCAAATTAATAAAACCTGGAATAAGTTTCTGTATTTGGAGAGGAAGTCAGAATGGAAGCTGAAACTAAAGGGCAGTAAGCAGTCGTTTTGACAGCAAGAGTCTGGAGCTTGCATGTTGTCTTTGAAGCAGATTTGGGCTGAACCCATGTGGGCAACTGCTCAGTGCTGCTTGCAGTCTCTACTCTAATTCACTAAGGTAATACCAAGCTCATTTTCATCAATGGCTTTGAGAATTTGGTGGAGATTTTGCAACCTGGGGGCACTTCATTTTTGCTTCATCATAGACATTCAGAAGATGTAACACACACACAGAAAAATATAAATTTATCTACTTGAAATCTAAGACTGACTTTCTTAGACTACATTCTGTTCTCAGTCTCATCTAGTAAGACTTCAGGGCATGGTAAAATTTAGTATTATTTTCTTCTTTTCATTATTGTATTATAGATAAAAGGATGCAGACATGCAAACTTTTAAACAGCCCTCCTACCAGATGACTATATGTATCTTTATTCAGTTAATATTGGTGGTTTCTGCACTGTTTCTACACAGAGAGTTTCTTCTTAAAAGTTCTGGTGCATATCACACAGGCAAGAACCGCTCACTTAGTTCAATCCATGTCTCCCAGGAGCATATGACAATGGTTCTTCAACTTCTTAGCTTGGATTAACTCTATATTCAAGCACAGAAGAGCAGCACACCCTTAGAGACCTGCATTGTAGACATT